CCGGTCACAGAAGGGACAGGAGGAATTATTTTCTTTTTTTACCTGCAGAACTGCATCTTCACCTTTTCATTTCAAGAAGTTTGGATAATTAAACGTTGGGGTCGATCTGGTCGTTACACAATTTGGATTTGAATAAAGCCACGCTGGGGCTTCTCCCTAATTGGCTGAAGATGTTTATGTCTTAAACGGCAGGAGGAACTAATAATAAGGCTGATGGGGGGTGAATCCTGGGTGGAATACAACACATTCTAGCTGATTAATAGAAACTTTGCAGAATTTTCTGCTGGGAAAATGCTCAGGGCAACAGTTTACAGCAGGCATCTGTCAAAGAAAATATTCCATAGAAAATGCGGATGTCTTTTCTCTGTCAGCCAATCTGTGTCTGTGTGAGTGACTGCGAAGAGTCTGGCAGCCAGACAAAAAGCGCCTAACCAACAACCATTCATCGTGATTCTTTGTTATTGATATTTTTGTGTGCAAATGAAGCTCTGTCTATTTGTTAGACCAAATTAAACACCAGCATTTGCACAAATACACTTCATAATGCATGTTATATGCACAACCTGAGGATGTATATGTCATTTGTGCAGCATGATGTTTTATGCTTTTGCCCACTTTCCTCACCGAGCTCAATGACGAGGACAGTCTAAGTGCTCCAGACCTCGCAGTCTTTTATAGAATTACAGGGTCCAAAATTAAATAGAGGCATGTGCAAAGGTTGGAAGGCCAGGGATAAGTCAGACAGGGCCGAGGTAATGTCACTGTGTTTCTGATCTTTATTGGGAGCGACACAGACAAAACCTCCCTCACTCCCTCCCTCCAAACAAGCACACACACACACACACACACACACACACATGCATTTCCCTGTATTGATTAGTTGAGAAAAAAGAGTTGAGGTCAGCAGGCATATGTCTGAATTTCTTTCTCTTTGTCTCTCACACTCCATTTGTCTCTGTCTGATTCAATACTCTCCTTCCCCCATCAGGGGGCCATGCTTCGTCCATATATCTGCAACTCCCTCCCTGATCCACTCTCACACTCTGTGGTTTCTTTTTGTCCGTCTCTTTGCCCTTGACTTGACATACATAAATCAATCAGTCAATCCAATTTCATTCAGAGCAAAGCCTGTGAGCCACCTTCCTGATAAAGTAACAGCATCCACAGTGTAATTACATTCTAAATGAAATGATGTGGTTATGACCATGGATTTGATTTTGCTTCATTTTCAGTTATCACACAAATATACAAGAGCAACGACATAACGCATACAAACAAATACAATCAGAAGGAAAAACACTTCATCGCTGAAGCTCACTGCGAAATGAGGTAAACACAGTAGTTTTCATTCTGGAGAGTGGGACCCCCAGAGGGGCACAAGATTGTTTCAGGCACTGGAGACATTTATGGAATAAGAATAAAACACATTTAGAACACATAAAAATATTGAAAATTCAAATACAAAGGTACTGAAAGCTATTCATGTCTAGCTATAAAAGGGGACTTTTGGAATGATTTTATTAATTTTTATTTGCTACATGCAGCATGTCCAAGATTTGTTCTTGTTCCATATTCTCTGATATTCTTCACACTGAAGATGTGCCACTATGTTTTGTAAAGAAAAGTTTGTTGAAGGACAAAAGACATGATCTGTGCAATGCTATCAACAATAGATCACCATTTGTCATTAGCATAGGATAAACATGAACAGTAACAAAATGTTTGTGTTTTACATGAAATGAACTGGTGCGCAAAGCTGATGTAGACAGTAGCCAGAACAGTTTTGGAAACAAGAACTGGTTCTTGTGAAATTAAACAAATGTAACTGGAACCTCAGTCTAAAATAAGAAATTAAACAAATACATTTTTTTACAGCACAAGTTACATTGGACAGATGTGTAGAAAATAAGTGCAATATGATAGTCATCAGCAGATGTGCAAGACATGTAAATAAGGTTAGATTTGTAAACGTGACATGATATGTAGAAAATTATCTTTATTATATCTTTAGAAAATGATCCTTGTCACAGTTCGAGAAACTGTCACAAGGATACCAGCCTGTGATTGTAAACAGTACTGTCTTCTTTTTCAGTATTGTAAATGCAACATGTTTTAAAGGTATTACACACCAACATGTCATAACTCCAGTAAGCAGCTACAAACAGCCACCAGAGACTATCTGGATTTTCACCACCCCTCTGATTTAGGGCCAATCCCTTCACACTAACATAAGGGAACCTATTCATTATACAAGCCGTGCCTGAATCTTAACATTTTCCCTCACAGATAGAGCTGATAGCTGATCAATAGTTGCCAGACTCAATCAATCATTGCCCCCCGCCCCCCCCAGACAACTTCTTCGGTCGCTTCAGACCCAGCTGCCTCAGCTCCAGGGCTGATTTGTCCTCCATTGCTGCTGTCATTTGTCTTTAGATTTCCCTTCCATCTGATAGCCCCAGTGCTTTTCAAATGCCCTTTCCACATGTCAGTGATTTATATATGAGCCTGGTCATCACTGAGGACGCTACAGGACTGTGCTCATTTGCACAAAGTCATTTTAGTCTGATATTTGTTTTTTTCTTCAAATAAGTCAGACAGTTTGGCACTGGGGTGAGATGATCACACATGCATGCAGAGTTGTTTAGGCATGCTGTTTAAAGAATTGCCTATACACAGAAATGTCTTGTAACAAGGTGGATGAGACTAATTTGCCCCTGCACTGATATAAGCTACATAATTTAACTTTATTAAAATAATTAGAGCAAGTTAATTAATTTGTAAATCTACATGTTTTTCACTGCTAAGCAAAATTTCAAGAAGGATTTTTACACTCAGTGCTGCATTAAGCCACTTTTATTTAATGCAGCATAATTACATTCAGTGCTTTAGACCTTGTAAGATGTACAGAACATCTCTGACTCCTTCCTTTGAAGCTGTTTTTTCTGTGGCTTTTTCATTTTCGCATTTTACTCTCATTGCCTCCCTCCACAGGCAATTCACATGTGCAGTGAACTGTGAAGCACAAGATTTGTACCCTCATTCTCAAATACATGCACGGTCATTTACACACACAAGCATACATGCATACTATAGAGACAAAAAGACATTATTATGCATGAACAGACAGCAGCACGCACACATCGATGTCATTACCTTGCATTTAAAAAATCGCTTGTCATAGCAGGATTGAGAGCTATCATGGCTGACATGTGCAAGGTGTTCTGAATTTTTGTAACCCTGATGATGTCTATCAGGGATGGCGAAGTTTTTTATGTTTTTTCCTACATTTACAGTCCCTTACAACTTTTACTTACTTACTTTACATCCATTTACATTTACCTTCATGACATTTGGTAGACATTCTACAGTAGAATGACTCAAAATGTTGCTCATTGAGACAACAGTTCTTTTTCTTCTTTTAATTAAGTCATTGCAATAATTCACAAGCTTATGATCTCAGGCCTTTGCAATCATTGATCATCTATTTAAAAGATCCACTCATACACATAAAGATCAATAATCTATGTCTGCGAAACCAGGGGTCTGTTCTGCTGATGAAAGATTGATATCTTTATCTGCCCAGCCACTGCTGACTGGTGAATGATTTATTCCAGTATTCTGTGTACTCCGATAATAGCCAATACTTCACTGGCTATCAGTTTGTACACCATCTGCTGACTAAACACACTAACTGCAATCTGATGCCTACCTGCCAAGTACAAAAAGACAAAAGCCCAGCAAAACAGGGAGCCTTTTTTGCTTTTACACTAAATTAATTAAAGTTTAGTTTTATCACTTTGATACTTAGGTATTATTTACTTCTATGGAAATACAAACATGTGTATATATATATATATATACGTTTGTATTATATATATATATATAATACAGATAGATAGATATATAAATTCCTCTTGTTATATATTGTATATAGTAGATGCTCATAAATTTAAACATATTCTAGTTTCAAAGGTTACTATGCTATATGGATTTGTTCTTCCTTCCTACTGTATACAATCAATCAGTTAAGTTAATTTAATTTATCTAAGTTAATTTAATCAAATGTATTCAAAATAAAGAGTTTAGGATTACGTTATAAAATCCATCTTTTCCCAAACTTCACAGCAAAAAGGATGCAGGAAAACCACACACACACACACACACACACACACACACACACAAAGTAGTGATATGGAGTCAAATTTAAGGAAGAGTCAACTGTCTAACTGTGTTGGATTACAATTTAATTATATAAGTATCCCTACAGTTGTCGAATTGTCAAATGTGCTAATAGTCTAAATGTAAAGTAGCCTTTTTTTTATGTAAAGTAATGACAATTTAAATGTGTGTAAATCATAAGGTAGCATACACTAGAATCATGAAGTGAGAATCTCAAACGAGAGATGTGGTGTGATAATGTCCAGTGATAAATATTCCATGCAAATAAACCATATTTTATTAATAAATCTCTTTGGATAGCTATACAATGTAAAATAGATTGAAGATAGATTGGTTGTGATTCTAAGAGAAACTGGAAGACATATATATGAGGTCACATTTTATGGTAATTCATATAATTCACACGTCAGTGTATGTCTTGCACAAACAGTTTGGATGATATCAGACACCTGTGCGTGTTAAATAAAAAAAGAGCATCCTCCAGTACAGTAATGAGGGGCATGCTTTTTCAAACTCATTTAGCATACAGGAGAAGAAGGAAAAAATAAAATGGCGGTGTGGAGATGATAAACAAACAGCTACCTTCCTACAAACTGTACATATAGCTAAACCGTGCGCCATATGTCTAAGTTATTTTGTAGCGGTGCCCTTTTCTATGTATATACCGCGAATTAGCTAATTGAAAACAAATCGTCTATTTAAAAAAGGATTTAAAGTAGCATGCACTCCGGCTCAGCAGATGGCAGAACCATAGACTGTATGGGCAGAACGCACATGTTGGTTTGCAACAAAAAGACACGAAGAAGACGCAGAAGCGGAAGAGACGTGGCACATAAACAGAGAGAGGAAGGAACAAGCTAGCAGCAGTCAAGTTTACTGATGACAGCCCCGGAGCCGCCTTACATGTGAATTTGACAAGGAAGCTTTAATGACAGTCGTACCACATTACCTGAAGCGAACGGGACTTGATTAAAAGTCTGTGTGAGAGGTAACATGTAACTATTTGTATTTGCGTTGTGACTTCCTCAACTTCACCAGCTAACGTTAGCTAGGTTAGCTCACCTGATAACTTCAAGCTAAGGTAGCAGCTAATGTTAGCTATATCGCTGACAAGACGTTTTAGTTTATGTTGAAACATTAAGTTGAAAAGAAAAACTGACACATGTCATCGCGAAATTTGTACGATCAAAACACTCGACGTGCAACCACTTTACCTTTATAACGTTACAGTTAACGTTAAAGAAGTAAAAATCCGTCTAAAAACAATATGAGTAACGTTTGCATCTGTTGGTGCTGGGGTCAGTGATAACCAGCTAATAAGTAAATTACACGGCCTATTAATCCAATTGCATGGCGATATCGTCACAGATAATGTAATAGAAAGGTTATAGATTATGATACCACTGTCAAAATCGCGGCTCTTAAAATCTTGGGATGTTTGGGACTGCCGACCCACCCACTACTTGTGATCTGACAATAAGGTCATTAGTAAAGTAGATATGATGAACACGCAGCAAGCTACAACAAAAACCTCAGAAAATGTTAGAAAAGTGTAACAAGTCTGTAAGCTCAGGAAAAGACAACATATAGGCTAATATTGTGATGACAAAAATCCCTGGAGATACTAACAGAGGAGCGGGCAAATAGGGCTAAAGTCCTCTATCACAGTGACTTTGTATCGCAGTAATGCAGTTTATCAAGATGAGGTCCATTCGTAGCTAAAATCAGTAGAGAAACTGTTAGTTTGATAATAGCTAGACAGGAGACAGACATTTTTATACACATTCTTCTTGCTTCTAGGTTCTAGTCGTACTAAATAGACACTTTATAACATACAGAATGACGAGAACTAGGATCCTTAGTGAGGAATGTTTGCTGGATAGATCCTTAACAAACCTGCATTTGTCTGTGTGTTCTCAACACAGCGCGGGTGGCTATGGGTCTCTGCAAGTGTCCGAAGAGAAAAGTGACCAATTTATTCTGCTTTGAGCATCGGGTAAATGTGTGCGAGCATTGCCTTGTCTCCAACCACAACAAGGTCAGTGGGTGAACCAAGTGTCACGCGATGTATGCTTGTGCAAACTTGTAACATCACATTAAAATTCTGTATTTCCACTTGCTGCCCTTCAGTGTATCGTTCAGTCATATTTGCAATGGCTCCAGGACAGTGATTACAACCCCAACTGTACTCTGTGTAATAATATACTGACTGCTCAAGACACTGTCCGACTGGTCTGCTATGGTAAGATTATCAAGTTTCTGTTTACGGAGAATGCATGTTTGTAACCAAATTTCCAAAAACATATTTTTCCACTTACCTCTAGTAATATCTAGAAATGCAAAACAATAGAGATGAATGGAGTTCTGTTTGTTGTACTCGCAGTATTGGAAAAATGACATTCCACCCCTGTTGCTGTCACATGAAACTGTTTTCTCCTTCCACAGACGTATTTCATTGGTCCTGTCTTAATAACTTGGCATCTCGGCTGCCCCTCCATACGGCTCCAGCGGGATACCAGTGTCCCACCTGTCAGGGTCCAGTGTTTCCCCCTTCCAACCTTGCCAGCCCAATTGCTGATGTGCTGAAAGAACAGCTGTCATCTGTTAACTGGGCTAGAGCTGGTTTAGGGCTGCCGCTGGTAAGAGCCTATTGTTGCTAAATCCCTCGTTTGATCTCGGTGTATTTTCTGATTGTACTTGTAAATTTTATAGATTTGATGTTAAAGATATTAATAAAATGTCATCTTTGACTGAAAGATTGAAGAGCCCAGTGAGGTCCATGAGGCGACCACAGCTAATGATGTCAGTGATTATACTGACTGGTCAACATTTGACGGTGAGCCTTGATGTTACTTTTAAGTACATAACAATATATGTATATTTATCATAGACTGTTTTGTAGGTGTCTACACAGTCTCAAACTCTGTCCTTTTTTTCTTTCAATAGTACAAGAACAAAAAAACATTTACCCCAACCACTCCTACAACAGCCCACTACCAAATCCTGTCTCACATCCAGCACAGGAAGACCTTGGAGGTCCCCGTAAAAATGGAGATCCAAATACGCAGGAGCACGCTGTGATAAACTTAACTACTGCCACTACACATGATACAATTACATTACACACAGGTAAAGCAATAAAAAGCCCTGTGTATTTACTCTCTCTGACTGCTTTACAGCTGTGTCTTTCTTTATGCTTTTTTTTTTTTTTTCAGCTTTGTGCGCAAACACGTTTAACATGTGGTGTTGCTTTCTGTGTTAAAAGATTAACAGACTGACTTGTTCTTATCCTCCAGCATCGTCACCAAGAAAGATCTACGACACACGAGACATTGGTCACAGCTCTGTCACACAGATTGACTTTGACGATGACAAGTATCGGCGACGACCAGCGTTAAGTTGGTTTGCTCAAATTCTCAAGTTAGTATCTTGTTGCTTTGTCTTTAGGAATAACTCACTATACAAATGTCGTTGTGATGTCTGATTTGAAAAAAAATATGTATGTATAAAAAATAATTTTAAAAAAAATAATTTTTTTTTACACATTTTATGTTTTCAGAAATCGCACAGGTGGAAAGCGGACATCTCTGTCCTGGAAACAGCGTGTCTTCATGCTGCTTCTGGTCGGAGTTCTGGGATTCTTTACATTGATAATCATCATGGCTAAAGTTGGACGTGCCTCTGCTGGCTCAGACCCCAATTTAGATCCTCTTCTTAATCCCAACATCCGCGTGGGGAAAAACTGATAACGCATTGATTTCTTCTCTTCCTTCTGTGTTACACAATATAAGTCTGTGTATAACGAGCAGAAATGGGACTTTCCAATACATGGTTAGCCCAACAGAGGGGGCCGTTTACCTTGAATGGAAAAGAGAAAGAGACACTGCACCTCCTTTAGAAATGCAGGCAATCTCTGGCCACATTCATTTACATCAGGCCACGGCCCTTTACAGACCATAAAAAAATCTCTCAACATTCAGGAGATTTCTATGTTCCAAGCAAAGCAACCCACAAACTCCAAAGCTGACCAATGCCGGTGCATATTGAGGAACGATCCAATAATTGTTCTTTGAAAAGCTAATGATGAGGACGGGGTAATATTTATATTTATAATTCCAGCTAACATTTGTCAGTGATCTTTGTAAGTTGATTTCTTTTAAAGTTCAGTAGAAACTAAATAAACACTGTTGATATTGAAAGAACATCTTTTGCTGGCAGAAAATTCATAATGTATATAATCAGCAACGCAACCTTCAATAACGTCTACACGTTTATAAACTGACTCCACTTACTGATTTGATTTGAGTGGACATTTGCATTTCTCTTTTAGAGAAGATGTGGCCCTCAGAACTGGAATCAAATATTGCCCACACGTAATTAATACATAACTATTCATGGGTGTCTGCATTCCTTCTGAAATTAAGTGCATTGGTTTTAGATTTGCCATACATAACTGTATGTACATTTTCCTGATGTTTTTTTGACTGTATATTAAATGGGGATACTACAGAATTTCAGTATTATAATGTTTTTGTTTTTAAAGTCCATGAATCGTGTCCATTATCTACAGCTCTGCATTGGCAAAATCAAGAGTGAAGAATTTATAAAATGTTAGTTCATGAGAATGAATAATGTCTTTAAACATTATAAGAAATATATTTTTATTGTACATGTGAGTGCAGAAGTTCAGATAAAAATGTTGTTAGTCCATCGCCCAGTTCTCATGAAGCAGCTGCAGGCTGTAATCAGCATATTGATTCTATCACAGACTATTCATGATATGTAAATAACATCCCACACAATAGATTGCAGTGTTAGGCTCCCTTGTGTACTACACTGTAAGTTGTTGCTCTTCTTTTTGAAGCAATATTTGCACTAAATTGACAACACTAAGAATAATACAAAAAACAAAAGAACTGAAGGCGTGACAGCCAGTAATACTTGCTGTCCTTCAATTTATCGCTGTGGCAAGACACTGTGTATGTCATTAAAAAAAAAAAAAAACATTCGTACATAATGTGGTTTGTACCTTATTTCAGTAGGTTGCAGGTAAAAGGGAAGGTTTAAGCTCAGACCACCTTTGAAGAACCACAATGCCGTGCTGTAAATATGAGCTGATATACAGTGTAGTTTTGTGTGTATACAGTACGTGACTGGCATTAATTTCTGGGATGATATGTTTTGAATAACCTTGGGGAAGTTCTGTTTTGAGGAAAGACAGCATTTGAAACGCTGAAATGTATTTTTTAGAAGATATTTTTAGATGTTCAGATTGTCAACATTGACATAAGACGCAGTGGTGAAATTCAGAAAGCAAAGACGGAAATAAGATTTAAAAAAAGCCTATCTTTTGTGCAGACAACGAACTTCATTGAAAGTGTATTATCTCAGATTTAAACAATTCTCACACAAAGGGCTCATGTCCAGTTATTGTTTGGGGGAGAAACCTAACCCATACCCCAACCTTGTGCTGAACATCATGTACTTTTTTTTACATCCACTCTGAGAAGGTGCAGGCACACCTGCCCCCTGAGAAATGGACTCACTGTGGTCCTCAACCATGACACTACTACTCTACAAATAATTTGCACACTACTCCCCCCTGGTGGTGCATCCAACTCAGGCCCTCCACAATAACGTCCCTTGGCAGCGAGCAAAGTGACAGGACACACCGGGGTCCAGTCTGTAAACAGGCTCTTTTCAGAACCACCTCTGCGGCTTCACTGTAAGGGCTGCGGCTCCCAGTGCAATTCAGTTCTCTGCACTATAAACTACTGCATAAAAACTAAATATCATTGTTTGTCAATTCAAACTTAAAATGGCTATATATCATACATCATTTGTTATATAAGATAATTAGTTCAGGAGTTGGGTGTTCAAATTAGGAACCAAAATTATATTTTACTAATTCACTAATTCTTAATTTTATATTGTCACATTCATTCTATTAGAAATAGAATCTTGTTGCTACTACTCAACATGCAATCTTTCTTGTGAATGACTTTTAGAATTTATGTTTGTGTCTTTAATTTATTTTATTTTATTTTAACTTTACCCCATGGGGGTATACATGTACAAGTACATGTAGTTCATGGTGGAGAGTACTGCATTCCTTATTAGGCCTATGATGACAACATGTATGATATAACTTTGTCACATGCTGTCCTTGGGAATCCTCGTAATAACCCCTGTCAAGTGTAGATATCAGTGTTACAAATATTCACCATGTGTTTGCATGTGAACATTAGTTGCCTCATCTAACTTTCCATTGCATTTGCCAAACAGTCACAGCAGTGTAGCTTTGCCATTGATTGTCAGTGGATCTGAGCCATATTACATTGAGTGAGGGAAAACTGCCAGCGGCAATGAAGATATGTGCTGCAAAATTACTACAAGGATGACAGATCTGGCACTTGTACACACCACAAAGCTGTGTGTAGTATTGTCTGATATATTTCTTGACATATGAAAATGGTATAAGCCATGAGTGGTTTAATATAACATCATGATAGCTTGTGATGTGTAATTGCCTGTCACTCTATTGGAGTTCAATGTATTTCCTAGTAAGTGAGTTATTAGATTGCCCATTGCACTGACACAATAGGGACATCCTGATCAATAACATGACACTTTGTAGTTAACATGCATACTGTAAGCAGCACGTTTTTTCTGTGCTTCTGCCCTGCTCTCATGATGACAGTCCTCACTGAGAAAATGATCTTTGTAATGAGCTGTTGACCTCTGGAGTGATATTGTTTGTGCCTTTCAACTTCAGAGTTTTATGGTTCATCACTCTGCCTTTTCACGGGAATGTTTTCACATTAACAAAGCAAGCACTGACATATTCTGACTACTGAGAGAGTATTTTAGTGTTTATGAATGTTTTAAAAACTAAATTATGGGTGACATCTGACACCCACCCACTTACATGCCTCAGGTTATCCAGCAGGGTTTACCTTTGACTCTTTTTTCTCTGTTGTTACTACTCTTGATGTGTCACACTTACAGGATCCCTGTACTGTTGAGGAATGAATGCTGGAAGCCGTGTTGTTTGGCTTGTACAGTGACTCAGATCCTAAGACATCCATATATCACTATGTGCTCAGGGTATCTCCAAATAAAAACTGCAGAAAATGTGTTATTACATTAATGTTTGACCGTTTGAGTAGCTTATTAAACAAAATCTGAAAATCCATGAAAAGAAATCAACATATTTTGCTTTTTTAAAATAGAATTATGTGCAACAATGACAATAGAGGAAACTTTATATATATAATTTATACACGTGCAGTATGCACTGATTGTCTGTCTGTTGTGTTTGAAGTTATGCTGTATATGTACAGTATAGCATGTTACTCATTCATGCTGGTATCTTTAAAATACAGGCACAGTATACAATAGAGTTTAATAAAATAGCTGCATGCAATAACTGGCCCTTCTGTCATTGGATGGCACAGGAGTATATATTGATGTGTGAGTGTGTGTGGGTTTTCAATGTGCTTCCCAATTCAATTAGATGGTGCATCGCTGAGAGAGAATCATTGTGTTTCAATGAACACCACTGCCTGTGTCATTCCTGAGCCTCTTTGAGAACGTAAGTACAGATTTTGGCTGTATGGTAGATCACAATAAAATATTTGAATTACCTTCGCTGTAGCTGTTCTCTGAATTACAATTACCTTCATGAGATAACATTAAATGTTTTATAGTGTTGCTTGAAACTTTACAAAGCTGAATTTTTCATGTCTTGCTTTTTGTGTTGCCTTTTCACTGCATGCAGCACTGCATTAATTCTGATTCACAAGAAAATAGTTTAGTGAGTATCATAGTGACATTTTCATTATTATCATGTTTAACTCATTTACTGAAATAATACTATGAACCAAAATTTACCATGTTTTGGGGGGATTTTCTGAATTGATTGTAAAATAATTGTCACCGCAGGCTGAATTATGTAACAAAGATGTAAAGAAGATAAAGAATTCCCCAGGGATCAACATCTTGCCAGTGTTTGAGGACGACTCTCAGCTGCAGCACGAGTTGATGGAAAAATATTTCAGACCTTTACACCCTCATCAGGACACCAGAGGCGTCAAAGATCATAAATCCAAAATGTGTGATCCTCCTGAAAAAGACCACAAGCACAGGAACACTGCTAACTCAAAATCTCGGCAAATGAAGCACCATCACCAAAATCAAGGCCATCATCATCACCACGACCAGCAAAGGTTACATGAGTTGGACGATAATGATAGCCATGGGTAAGTTTGGACATCACTTCTCTTCCACAGATGTATGTATAGAGTCTCTGCTTAATTTTTAAATAGACTCAGATATTTCAACTCTGTGTGTTTACTTTGTTTTATTTTTTACATAAGAAACATTAAAGTAGCAGCACTGTATGTCCATCTCAGTTCATTTGTTATAGAATTTTGATTCATAAATGTGCTCTGTTATTACAAAAATGATTGGCATTATCATTGGTATCCAGTGCATCTTTAACACAGATGTTTTCTTTTTAAAATAGCACCAATTCAACCGCAGAGGACAGTATTTTCAGTGATCATCACCCTGACCATCAACATCATTCTCACTCTCACCAGTACCATCACAAGCAAAACCAACGGCATGTTTCTCATTCAGAAACTCTTTTGAGTTCCTCATCTGGTTCCTCTTCATCCTCCTCTTCTTCTTCTTCTTCCTCTTCATCAACATCCTCCTCCTCTACCTCTTCTTCCTCCTCCTCTTCCTTTTCTTCTACCTCTTCAAAGTCTTCCTCTTCCTCCAGCCTGTCCTCTGAGAGCAGCAGTGAGTGTTCAGATAGTGTTCCACTTAAGAAGGCCCAGCATTCACAGTCCTGTACGGACATTTCCAGAAAACAAAGGTACTTTGAAGAAGGTGACGACACCGCCCCTTTGATAGATAAAAAACGTTATCTAAACAGGCTCCCTGCCAAACAGGATCAAGAGAAAGGCAAATGCTCCCACAGTGGCCCCAGCCAGGGCACCCTAAAGAACACAAAGAGGATCACAAGAGGCTTGGGAAACGAAGGAAGTTTCCGCAAAGCCAAATCAATGGAGGCTCTCACTAGACCCAAAGAAAGAGAATGGTGTGGAAATAAAGATGAAAATGAACCAGAGAGGCGGAAAGGTGAAGGCAGGAAGAATTTAACGAAAGAAAAAATGAAGTTCTCTGCCTTCCTTAATGAGATCACTCGGCAGGTGCTCAGCCCAATGAGACTCACCACTCTTGGGGTTACAGATGCTCAAAGACCTTGCAGCTCGGGGCAGTCCTCTGTTAGATCCAGTAAGTTAGACAGCAGCACTGAAAAGGTCAGACAGCAGAGGAGTCGGCCTGCCAGTGTAGACTCAGTTAGCTCTAGCAAGTACTCCCATACCAGCAAGCACTCTTCTCGAATGTCTCACTCTAGATCTTTCCACCACCCTCACAGTCACCGTTCTGCAGACTCACCCAATCACAGGTGTCACAGGCCCAGAAGTTGCACGGATATT